CATTTTGAATCAAATGTTATAGATACTTTTAAAATGACTTGTTTAATTTTGATAAGAGTCACGCTTAGTCATTTAAAGATCTTTATGTTGCTCCTGAGCCGACTTTTAGTATTGGGAATTGTAATACAATAAAGGGGTCGTCTATAAATGACGTCAAAGTCATATGGTTGGGGGTCCAGGCTTTTGTGAAGATTGGTATGGATGGTGGGGGGAAGGGGGGGGGGGCAGGGGTTTATGAAGTGTAGCATGACGCTGTTGTACTTCGTTAGACAATGTTTTTTTTTTTTAAAACTGAATTTTCAACAGTTATTTCGCATTAAAAAAGAAAGACTTTTACACAGACGAATTAAAAACAATTCCGTATAATTAAACTAAAGAGTTGATATCTCCGAAAAATAATATAAGGTTTTAAAAAGAAACAAAAAATGCAATATAGAAGTGTTCTAAACCTAGAGCGTGACGACTTTTTAGTGGTGGTGGGGGGATAAGTGGGAGGGGGAAAAGGGGGGGGGGGGTCTCATTTTAGGTGACGAAGGGGGAGACTAAATTAAAAGCTTGACGTCATTTACGAATGACCCCTAGTCAAAAGTACAGAATGTTGCGTAAACCCCTGTTATTTGATTTCACCCTCCCCCTCCCACCCCACACCCCCCAACCATGGCAATGTACCAACATTGCATTAGTGCCATCCCCATTAGCTACGTTTTGAACTGTTTGATTGTTAAATGTTAAACTAAAAATAGGTAGCCGAATGTTTGACAGTGGCACGGAGGAATGTGATTGGATTTGATGCCATGTTGTGTCTTTTAATTTCATCAGGTCTGACGCGGTGCGGGCGGATGTGACGTCACGAAGCCGGAGAGACAAGGAGAAGGAGGTTTTCTCGGAGCTGTCCTCCCTATTACCCCAGGAGCTTATAGAGAGCTTAAAGCCCGATAAGCTCACTATTTTAAAATTGACCTTGGCCTACTTAAAATGCAGGAAAAACGTTGAAACAGGTGATTAAGCTAAACCACCATACCATAAAAGATATTCTTAAATTTCGTGCTTTTTCCGAATTAATTACCATATTTAATACATCAGTTCGTGTTTAAGACTATTAGAAATTGATTATTGTTTCATGAAATATTTAATATTTTTAATTTACAAAAAATATCCATAGGATCCAATTCACTATATTTCCACTATCTCGAAATATTGTGACTGGGCTTTGTGAGAATGTGTGTGTGTGTGTGTGTGTGTGTGGTGTGTGAATGTGGTGTGATTTGATCTTTTTTTTCTAATTACAAACAAGCGGTGAAGTCCGTGGCCTGTTTTATTTTAACTGTTAGAGTTAAGGTTTAGTTATAAGGTTAGGTTTTTTTTTAACTCCCTTTTTTATGTCGGCGTTGTCTATTCGGTAAAGCCCATGGTTGCTGATCCGAAAAGTCTCGAGTTCGAACCATCGGGCAGATGAGGCTCGATAGCTGGGGACAGCCACTCTTCTAGGAGAGACAACTCCAAAAACAAACAACTGCTGCCTTGTAGTTTATTCTTGGTTGTACAAAGGCTATGGAAGCAAGTTAATAAAAAATAAACGGGCTGAAATCGGAGTCAACGGCTTATATGGCGCATAACCAGTTGACACATAATACGTAATTGTATTGAATGGAAACCCTCCCAAAACTAAAATTAAAAAACGAAGAAGAAGAAAAAAATAAAATGAACTAACAAATAGAAATTAGGTATCAATGATGGCAATATTTTTTGTGAAAGATTACAAGCTACCAAACTTTTTAAAAAATCAAATTTAACAAGACTAAAGTTATGAAGATTACTAGCAATTAAACTTAAAAATAATGAATCTAACAAGACTAAAGTTAAAAAGATTACTAGCAACCAAACTTAAAAATAATGAATCTAACAATACTAAAGTTATAAAGATTACTAGCAATTAAACTTAAAAATAATGAATCTAACAATACTAAAGTTATAAAGATTACTAGCTATCAAACTTAAAAATAATCAATCTAACAATACTAAAGTTATAAAGATTATTAACTGTCACACTTTAAAATGATTAATCTAACAAAACTGAAGGTATAAAGATTACTAGCAATTAAAATAAGCAATTTAACAAGACTAAAGTTATAAAGATTACTAGCTATCATACTTTAAAATGGTCAATCTAACAAGACTAAAGCTATGTATACAATGAAACTCGACTTTTTCCAGAACGACTAGACCAAGCGGAATGTCTGGCACCAGAGTCTGACGACGACCCGATCAGCGTCAGCGACTGGAACTCACCGGACCGTCCATCTGCCATGTTGGACAAGTCTGGCAACCTTGTGGCTGGCACCTTACTGACACGCCCATTTTTGATCAACAACCCGGATATTGAATTGCCAGAGTCGGTCTTGTTTAACCTGAGGAGGCAGTTTCTCTGTGAGGATAAGAGAGACGTGGATTTGGAAGAGAAGATGTATAAGATCCAGAGATACAAGGAAGGTTTGGAAGCAGGGATGAGAGATTTTCTGCGGGATACTTGCCCAACGCTGGTTAATCACAATACTGATTTTATTTTAAAAGAGAGTTCCGAACATAACAGCGATATCCAAACGTCAAAGTCGACTCAAAATGCAGGGAGATTATCGCGTGAAAGTTTAAGTGGTTTTCAGAGCAGTGTGGATTCTGTATCAGTTGTTGCGAGAAGGGGAGGGATATCAAGAGTGACGGGACTTGATGAGGGTGGTGAGGTAGGAGGTGAGGTAACTTCGAGTGCTGGAGTATTGAGTGAGGTGAGAGGGGAGGTAACTTCGAGTGCTGGAGTGTTGAGTGAGGGTTCTGAGATGCTGGAGGCAATGCATGGGTTCTTTCTGATGCTGGATAAAACTAAGACGGTGATTTTTGTCTCGAAGAATGTGTTCAGCTACCTGGGACAGTCGCAGGTAAGTCGTTGGCTTAAGCTATAGGTAGAGAAAAAATATAGAACAGTTACAGTTTAGTCGTTGGCTTAAGCTATAGGTAATTTAAAAATATAGAACAGTCACAGGTAAGTCGTTGGCTAAAGCTATAGGTAGTTTAAAAATATAGAACAGTCACAGTTTAGTCGTTGGCTTAAGCTATATCTAGAAAAGAAAATAGGACAATCACATGCAAATCGTTTGCTTAAACTATAGCTAGAGAAAAACTATAGGACAACTACAGATCAGCAGATAGCTTAAAACGATAGAGAAAAATTATGGTACAGTCACATATCAGTAGATAGCTAAAAGCTATAGGTAGAGAAAAAAATATGGTACAGTCACATATTAGTAGATAGCTTAAAGTTAAAGCTAGAAAACAATTGTAATCATGTACTTTAAAATATTTAGAAACAAAATGTATGAATGGCGGCTGGGGAATATTGACATCACATTTCCATTCACGTTTTGGCGACATGAACAAATAGCTGACACAAAATATTTTTTTTTTAGTTTTTATTTTATATTTTAATAATTACTAGATCTACAAATAGACTAGATCCTTCTTTTTTAATAAAAAGATAAAAAGTGTGTAAACGTAAAAAAGAAGAATATCAAATTTAAAAGGGTAATAATTATCATCAAAATGAACTTTTTCATTTGTTTATTACAAATCCCCATTTAAATTTGTTACTGTGAAGTAAACAAATGTTAATATTATGTGTATACAACTTTTTTTTAGCATAATATCATCGGCCAAGATGCAGCAGAGTTGATCTATGAAAAAGATTACCCGGAACTGGTCAGGCAGATGGACGATGGTCAGTTCGAGAAAGGTAAACACGTTTTTATTTCGTACACTAACCTTTTAGCTTATATTGTTAGATAATTTACCCCGACATACTTACATTTTTTTTTAGTTACACAAGAAATGGATGCCGAAAAACTGAGCACTTTTATGTTTCAACAATATTTGAGTATCTAAAAGTTATGTAATTTTGTTTTCTCCAATTAAAAAAAAAATTATTTATTACAATTGGATATATTTGATATTTGGTATTTTCGGTAACTGAACACATTTTTATAAATTCAAAAACAATTTCGGTGTTTTCATTTTATCACAGAAATTTATTTTAAAAATAAAAAAAAATAAACTTGGCATAACTGGGTTATGTAAATTAAAAAAGTATAGCTTTATTTAAAATTTCTATCGGCTAAGTTATGAGTACAAATTACTTGAAAATAAGGTTTTCAGAATATTGAATATTTTCAGAATATTGAATATTTTCAGAATATTGAATATTTTCAGAATATTGAGTATTTTCAGAATATTGAATATTTTCAGAATATTGAATATTTTCTGAATATTGAATATTTTCAGAATATTGAATATTTTCAGAATATTGAATATTTTCAGAATATCGATCGCGGAGTTCCCATACAATCAATGATCAATGTTTGTCTTACGAGGGTTACACTTCATGATATAATTTAGACTTGATGAAAATAATAGAAGCGTAGTCCGAAGCGCAAAAAAATTATGTTGCTAACTTCTCTGGATACGCCAATGTAATAACATTGATTGATAAAATATTACATTCCTGACACTGATAGGCTTAATTTCTCTCTCTCTCTCTCTCTCTCTCTCTCTCTCTCTCTCTCTCTCTCTCTCTCTCTCTCTCTCTCTCTCTCTTTTTATTTTTTTTAAATTTTTATATTTATTCGGCTGCTACTAAGGCAAAATCGACAAAAACATGATTTTAATACATATCAACATTCAGTGGCGTAGCCAGGATCGTCTCAAGGGGCGGGGGGGGGCGGGTTCCAATTATTACCCGGGGACGAACTTTCGATTTGCATCCCCCCCCCTCAGACTTTTGATTTGCACCCCCCCCCCCTCAAACTTTAGATTTGCACCCTCCTCATACTTTATATATATATACCGAGGGGTCTATGGGGGGGGGGGGGGGGTTTATGACCCCCCCCCCCCTGCCTACGCCACTGTCAACATTAATGACGAAAGGCATTTCGTCAAACTTGTTGGAATCTATACACCTATTTCACAGTGTAATCTCCAATTTTCGTACTTATTCATTTCCCATTTTTATGTTTTCATTCCAACAGATTCCGTATCTGGGGTTAAAGGTCAACGTCTAAAAAGAACCATCTACCTAGCCATGAAATGCTGGTACCAAAAACCTGGATCTAAAATAAAACACAGCGGATACTCGGTAAGTTTTCCTTTAGCTGAGCGGGTTCGTTTCATTTTATTTTACAAACTAAGTGTCTTCTCGATTTTGATCACAAATTGGTGCCCCCACCCCCATATATTTATTATATTTATAAATGAGATTTACATTTTTATCCAACCCATTCTGGCGCCCCTAGGGTCGGCGCCCGGGGACATATGTACCCACCCGCATCCCAGTTGCTACGCTTCTGGTTTCGGACGTCCATGAGTCAACCCAGCTCTAATAGGTACCTGACTCACATTAGAGAACTGAAGGCGGCTGGGCATAGTGCTGACCAAACTATCCATCTATATGCCGAGGTCATTGAAACAGATGAACTCTACTTCACTTACACAATACTTCATCTGCGAACGGGAAAAAAGATGATGACTATCAGAGTTTCTTCCAGGCATCTCTTCGGGGGTCCACCGCCCCCCGAAGAAAGTCTACCCCCCCCCCCCCAAACGAAATGGAATTTATATAGAAAATATATACTTTTGACAGTGTCCGCCCCCCCCCCCCCCCCCCGAAAAATTTCAATTGCACCCCCGGATAAAAACAGTCTGGAAGAAACACTGATGACTATGTATTATTAACTGGTACTTACCCCCCCCCCCTCCCTCCCCCTGACAATGTTCTGTAGTTAAATTAATTTGTTATTGTAAAACGTGATTAGATCGTTTGTTAGCACCACTGACCCAACGCCTTCAACTAATAACAACTCGTCCCATCACTAACGCTAACCCTAATGCGCGTCGTAACTTAAAAAGGCGCCTCCTTCTGATAAAGGGAGGAAACAAAATATTTCGAACTATAAATAAAAATATATTAATTACAAAACATACGAATAAAAATAACGGATTAACAGCATTATTGGAATTTTATTATACAACGGTAAACTGTTATATGGAAAAGAATATTAGGGTGAATTAATAAATGGATTGCTATAAGAACTCGAGAGTTTAATTACACTGGGTTCCAAATAAAATCTGAATATTGTTTTGCCTAGTAACGCCAGTGTAAATTTTAACTAACCAAAGGGAAATAACTTTTAATAAAGTTACTAGGTTAACAAAAAGTAGTTTTGTTTCAAAATAATAAAAAATATATTTAAATTAATGAAAGTATTTATGTACAAACATAATTTTAGTAACTAAAATTATTTTTTTTATTATTATTTTCAAATAAAAATGTTATTGTTTAACTCTATTTTGAGTTTTTAAAACCTTAGTGGCGTTATATAATAATTTTTTTAAATAAGCGAAATTTCACGTTGAAGTATTCATTTGGCAAATAGTCAGAAACCTTTTATTTTTTTTAATCGTTATTAAATCTTATTCACCCCCCACGCCGAGGGAAAAAAATCCCTAAAACCATCATTTAATTACACATTTGCATTTTCAGGTTGGTTTTCTTTAAAAAAATTTTTTTTTATATTTAGACGTTTTGTATTACATCTATGTAAATAAGTAAACCATTTTAAATGAATGAAAGTAGACTACAAGTAAGAAAGAAATATTACTATTGTAAATCTGTATCAGTCCTCACAGGCCGGTGATGAAAACTGTAATACTAAAGCGAACACACACAACTGACGCTGTAAATTACATGTCTGAGGCAAAAAAAAAAGGCAAATTTACATTCAATTTCATGCTTATTTTATTCAAAGGTTGGAACATGGAATGGCATTCGTGATAGAAAAATCATACGAAGAGGCTCACATAAAATAAAGGCAATAAAATGAAAAAAAAAATAATTAAATCTTATTCAGTGTTGTATTCACCGGGGTGGGCCAGCCTTGTGACCACGGTTCAATTCTTACCAGTGCCGACCCCTTCAAATATCGTTCAATAGTGAATTTCATTTATTCAGAATGCATTTCTCTATCTGTCAGTATGCATTATTTAGACCCGGGTGACTTCATCTTTTAGTTATTAGCCTCCAACGGTTGAGCCAGGTACTGGACGATGGGGTACGAGTAGGGTGGAAGATTAGCCCTGTGTGAACCGAAGGACATAAGTGACCAATACACGGTAATCAAAACAATACCCCAGCTACGGAGTTGGCTGTGTTGAGGCCTGCCTGGCGAATGGGAGAAACCCCCTGAGCCGGCGGTGTCCGTAAAGAAAGAAAAAAAATGCTTTAGCTTCTAAAATGGATTGGGAAAGTCCTATAATTATATTATGTGATTAGGAATTTTATCAGAACAGAGCTAGCTAAAATACTTTAAGATGTTTTGTGCGTAACATGTGTATGCTTTTATATGAATAACTATAAATTTTATATATAAAGCTATTTATGTCAAATAAAAAATAACATTTTTTCATCTAATCCTAATTACATGCTGTAATATTGACATTAAAAAAAATGTGTTAGTGGCACTTTAAAAATTGGAAAATTTTGTAAATTGTAACTTTTGGCTCTTCCGTCTCAAAAGGTTTCGACCCCTGGTATTAACGATAAGGTGGTCGCGACGATTAATAAATAAATAATATATTAAATTAATCGACAAACCCAATAGCAATGATTTAGAGCCATTTGCGTGCTCTGAAATATCTTTCTGTCCACTTTGTGGGTGGGAACATTAAACAAAAAAACAAATCACAATGACTAGACTGATGTCATCTTGGCTAGTGTGACGGTGAAACCGTTTAGGCCTAGCTCCACGTTATTCTTACACCACCCCTTACCTGCTCTATACTCCCCCCCCCCCCCTCTATACAACTACGTACATTCCTATCTTTCGTCCCCCTCGCAGGCCCCTCTCTAGTTGGCTAGTTTGTCCACGTGACACACCGCCAATGTAAAGGCATATAAGGGGATGCAACAAAGGGATTCTCGCACTCTCCCAGCACTGAGCTCAGCTGGTGGTGTCGCACGCGGCGTTGGGGCCGTCGGCCCGACCTCCACGTGTTTTTCTGGGTTTGGTTTTACTTAGTTATTTCTTACTTTTACTTAACTTTACTTTTTATATGCATAATTGATTAACAGTGTATCAAGGAGTTTTAATAAATACCATATATAGATATTATCTTGCTGTCATGTATTTTTTTCATAAACACTATACATTGTTACTTTACATTGTGCTAGTCGATGACTTACCTGAATTACTTAACTTTACACTGCCCGTGCCTTAGCCCACAGGGCATTTAAATACTTATCTGACCTAAACTATTCCTGCCTGTGATGTAATTCCACGTGGCAGTTGAGTAGATATTTGTTACCTGCTGTACTACTTTTATCCTGCACGTGTATCAGCCACGGAGCAGTAGATATATATCATACACAGCCTCATTCTATTTTACTACAGGCCGTAAACTGCGGGCATTGAGTTGACCCGTAGTCATCGGACCTGCTATTTTATTTTATTAACCGGCCGTAAACCCTTGCCAGAGACAAGAGGTCATCGGACCTGGTAAGAACCAATTATCATTTTAATAAGGCTGTGAACTCTGGGCATTGAATTGACCCTTAGTCATCAGACCTTAATAATATTACCTCTAGTTATACAATACTAGAATCTATATTCCCGGTAAAGAAGCGGCACAGACCCTCTTACCGGTTGAATACCAGCATTTCACTGATTTTACTATTATATCTATTATACGGTACCAAATATTTATCTTTTACCGTTAACATGGGGGCTCGTCAAACTAAATACTAGACACGAGTTAGCCACTCGTATTTGAATAAATCCTGCTGTTTCACATATTTGAATTTTACTGCTGTTGTTTACTTTGAATTTTCAGAAAAAATATTTCTGTGTGTTATTGCTACCTGCTCAAGAAGTATTCTGTACAACTGACGGCTGCACAAGAAAGGCAAGACCACTGGAATTGTAGCTAAGTGTCAAGTTTTAGCTTTTGACTCTGACTTACTACGTTGATTCCTTTAGTGGTACTTTTAAAACTGGTCTCCTATTCTTGTAGTTAGCTTAGTAGTCTATTATTTGCAGAATAGGCCTACTTCTGTTAGTCTGTCAAATACTTTTCTTGTAGTTAGTTTATTGTTAGGCGTGACCCGGTACACGGCTTGAGCACACGCGTGTCACGTTACCAGTGTCAACGGCCTAGCCAGGCTGCATAATGAGTGGCTCCACTAGCATCCCCGCCCTCATCAGGTACGCCATTGACTATGGCTACGAAGGGGCGGCACTCAGTGCATTTGTTAGACAAAGATACCAAGAGAATTTAGAGGACTTACAAGAAGAAGAGGAACGAAGAAGATTAGACGAAGAAGAAAGATTAAATGAGCTGCAGTGGGAAGAAGAAATTAAATTAAAAGAGAGAAAATGGGCTATAGAAGCCAGGTTCTATGAATTTGAAAGATCGGAGTGGGATAGTATCAAACCAATAGCAAAACAAGAAGACGAAATGTTAGCAGATACCAGCATATCAATAGCTGAGAAAATTATTATTTGTAACGAACGTATAAGAAGAATGACCGAAATGAAAGCACGCTTGCAGATAGCCGAGCAGGCGATGCTTGAGCAGCTGAAAAACATGACCATATTAGGACCTGAACCAACACCCGCTACACCAGACACACCAACCCTGCCACAGGGAGAAGATAACACTCATGATGCTACACTGAGCCATAGCAGCAACTTCGTTAAAATTACTTCCCCTGCCCCGACTGAATCATCAATAAACACAGCACCGGATGCTTCAGTCGACCTTAATTATGCAAACAACCCAACCACTGAGATTGTCAGCCTTATCGGCCCCATTGTTATACCTACCACACATACCAAACCTTACCAGCCCCTGCCCAGAGGGAAAAAATTCGCCGACGAGAGGAGGATCGCTCTCGGTCCTGAATTACCTGTCGCAGCTATACAAGGGGCAGATAATCAACAAAGCAAGTTACAATTATCACCCTTAGCAACAAAATCTGGTTCTCGCCCCTTGCGGACCGAATCAGACTTATCGTCCCCAACTAACAGCACAGTCAATTACTGCGTACCTGGCCAAAACAAGAACTCTAACGCTCAAATTGGC